CCATTGGAGAATTTAAGAAGACAAGTCAGAGGAAGGTGTAGTCTCAACGGGCACCCTCCGGGAAGACTCCGGAGAGGGGGGAGTTAAAAGAACACGACTCCCGAGCCCCCTTCAGGGTAGCCCTTAGCAACCTGTAAGACTAGTGTGTCTCACTTGCCCAGGTCCGACTTCACCGACATCTTTGGCTCAAGACGGAAAAGACACAGTCTTGTAGTGAAGCCCCTTTCTGTTCAGGTTGGGTTGAGGTTTCGTCTGTTGCCTCTTCCCTTGGGATCACCTCCCTCCTGTGTTTGGGGCTCACTTAACTTTAAAAGCCTGAACCCCAGGTTGTGCTCTAAACTCCAAACCTAACTTGGGCCTGGGGCATTGGCGGGTTCAGTTTTTTTTTGGTGCAGTTTTGGAGTTGGGGGGCTCCGGGTTTCGGGCCCCTGGCATGTCCAGACTCCCAGGTGAAGGGGTGGAACGAGTGATGTCACGCCGTGGCTTAGGGCTTCGGGTGGGCAGGGCGCAAAAGGTCAAGGGTTGAATATCTTCCTCCAGTGATTTAGTGGCCTTTGGCCGGTGGGGCTTGATGTCGACCGCATGTGGGGGGGGGGGGGGGTGATCTAGATTACAGGACCTATGGTGCCCTGAGCCATACGGCTTGCAAGGAATGAAACACAAGAGACCCAGAACGGGCCCCAATCAATGCCCACGTAGCCATGAGTCAACACTTCCCCACCGTGCCCTCGAAGCGAATGCGAGTCCCAACAGGGGTTTCGAGAACCGGCTGTGAGTCGCGTCCTACAGAACAGTAGCTCAGTAGCGCGACAAGCCTCAACCACACAAGAGTTTGGATGACGGATGTGGTCGACCTCGCGTCCTGCCCAGCGGAGGCGGGAGTTTGCACCCGCGGTGAGAGTGATTCGGTGACCGTCTCGGAAACTTGAGTCCTGTTGATGAAAGCGCTCATCGCATTGAGAGCTCCCCGAAGCCTGAAACGCAAGCCGTTGGGCTAAGCTGAAGTAGAAGGCCAAGCCAAAAGCCCAGCTCGCCTGGCACCTGCCCCCCCTGCCCTGTGCAAACTCCTAAGCCAAAAGCCCTGCGGAGGTGGACTCGACCATGGGGGCCCATCCCTCTCACCCTCAACCAAACAGGCCGACAAACACGTTCGGAAGAGGGAGGGGTTCACTGTTTGCTGTTTTTCGGGGGGGGGGGGATGGGGGTTTTGGGACCTGTGGGTTACATTGCATGGCAAGGTCTTTGCCCTCTGATTGGGCTTTCTCTGATCAACGGCGGGGGAGGGGGGGGGGGGGGGGGCCTGATTACTTAGCAGCAAAACAGGTCTCAAGCCCGAAGCTCCCGAAACCCTGAAACCCTGAGACTCTATGGGGGATTCCGAAAATAGGGGTACCCCTTTTTGGGGGGATTCCATGAATACGGATTATACTGATTCTCCTATTTTGGGGGGCATCATCAAGGGTACACCTTTGTTTTGGGAAATATGCCCCCTAAAAACCCTGAGTAAGTCCAAGAACCACCTCTTTCCACAACCGGGGGCCAGGCCAGCTGCAGCTTCTGCTTCGCCAGCCGCCCTTCCCTCAGGGGGGGGCTTAGGGTTTAGGGTTTAGGGTTTAGGGCAACTGCGGAGTTTAGGAAGTGAGTGAGGGTTCGTCAAAGTTCGCTGTTCAAGGGTTTAGCGTAAGGGTTTGTCAGAAGGGAGTTCATCAGGGGCCTGTAGGGATTAGAGTTCTGGCCCCCGAACACCACCAACTAAAACCCCCCCTCCATCGTTTAGAAAAACACATCTCCAAACCCTCAGCTCCTACCCAGGCAGAGGCCAAGATCGCGAGCACGGTGCGCCCGCCAGCGTCGCTTGCATCGTAGGAACCTGGCGAAGGGCCGTCAGTGCGTGTGCCACTGCGTCAGTCTCTGGGGCAGGCGTAGCTGCAAGCTTCGAAGCCCAATCGACCCTAAACCCCCACAGCTGCAAGTCCATCAACCTCAGCCATACACAATTCCAGGGTTTCATCAGGTCAACTCCCTCTCTGTAAGCTGGAGCCTGCGGCTCCTGGCGGCCCCGGGCGCAGAGTGCGAGGTTGGGGGGCTTAGAGTTTCGGGTCTTGCGTTAAGGGGTCAGGACTCTCAACTCTTCAACATAAGCTTTCGCGATGCGAAGCTTGGCCCATCTTGGCCCCAGACCCTAGACTCCACATGCCGCTCACGCAAATATTCGGGACGCCTAAACCCCAAAAACAAAAAGCTCACACCTGAATCACTCCCGCACCCTTCGGCAGTCGTCCGGACCATCCTCAGACATCGACAATCAACTCCCTTCCTTCAGACCGACCATACATCCCTTGCTGGGATTTAGGATTGGGGGCTGTGGGCTTCAAGCTTAACTTCTAAGCCCGGAAGGAAGCCACATCCTTTTATGTGATCATGCTGCCCTCTACCCGACATAGGGCACAAACACAGCTTAGTTGGGGTTATGTGGCCATTGTCTTGGATAGGGGCATTTAGGGTCGGGGTAGCCTCGGATGCCACGGCATCCTGAAACAAATCCTCAGCCAGCAGCTCAAGCGTAGCCGCTCAGTCCAAAATGTCAGGAGCTCCTCTGCGCCCCACTGAACCCTAAGCCCCACGCTTCTACAGGACTTAGAGGTTCAAGGGCTTAGGCCAGCCGCCCTCGACCCTGCTTCGAAGCGATCAGGCTCAAAGGGTTCAGGGTTTAGGGGTAATGGTTGTAGGGTTTAGGATGTAAGATTTAGGGGAGGGTTATAGGGCTTGTAGGGTTTAGCTTGAACATGAACCCCCCCCCCCCAAATTACCAAGCCTAAAAACCTGTATAGTGTTTTTGGACTGTCATCTGGGGTGTTGTGTATATATGTATACATATATATATATATTAAATTATATATGTATGTATGTATGTATGTATGTATGTATGTATGTATGTATGTATGTATGTATGTATGTATGTATGTATGTATGTATGTATGTATGTATGTATGTATGTTGTATGTATGTATGTATGTATGTATGTATGTATGTATGTATGTATGTATGTATGTATGTATGTATGTATGTATGTATGTGTATATATATATATATATATAGAAGTCTATCTATCTTTATCTATGTATATATATATATATATCTACACATATGGCCCCTATATGTCATAAACCCCAAACCCCGCATCCCCTGTGGCCCCCCCGAACCCCAAGGTGGCGGTCCAGATAGAGCTTGAGCCAACGGCGAAGACCGAGGCCGGTCTTTGGGGGTGGGGGGTCAAGAGGGCTTAAGGGGGGCTTAATGGGGGCTTAAGTCCGGGCTTAAGGGAGATCAAGAGGGGCTTTAAGTTTAACTGGCTTTAGAGGTTGAAGGGTTGTCGGGGTCCGGGTTGCGTTTTCTTTGGGAAGGTTGAGGTTTGGAGGTTTAGGGTTTCGCGAGAGTCTGTTTGTGGAATTCTTCTGTGGTCTTTAAGCGCAACGACTCCATGTCCCTTCGCTTGGTCTCCAGTAACCCCTCTAAGCCCTCCAAGCCTTGCTATAGACCATTGGAATAGACCAGTTAGAAATCCTGACGTTTGAGCCCTCAATCCTTGAACCCTGGGTTCTGAATCCTGAATCGAGGCGCGGTGCCTGCAGGCCCGGGCGGGTGCCGACGGCGTGGCGCGCTTCCAGGGCCACAGCGACTTCCACTTCCTGCCCCTTCTCGGAGGAGTTTCGACGTCTACTCGCGGTTTGGGGTTTAAGGGGCTGGATGGGCGGCACGACGCATGGAAGGCGAGGCTTTGAGCTTTGTCCGGGCTTAGGCATACGGAATTTGGAGGCTTTGTTGAACATTTCGGGGGGTGTTAGTGAGCAGAGGAACCACGGGGCTGGGCCGGGGTGTTGGCCAGGGTGGTGCAGTTGGGTTGTAGCATTTGGGATTTGATCCACAATTATACGGGGCCATTTTGGTGCCTTAAGCTGTATGGAACAGGGGGCGCTGGCCCCCTCCACCTTGGCCAGGTGTGTCTCGAGTAAGTTTCGGATGCTTACGAGGGGCTTGTGCCCGAGCTCCAGCCTGGGCCTAGAAGCTATCGATGCCGTTTGCTCGGTGCTTTTGCCATAGACACCCCAACTGCGCTCCGAAACCCCACATACCGAAAACAGCTCGAGAAAAGCAACCTCCCTTTGCAACCTACTCGCTGGTTCTTAGTAGGGTTTTCGAGGATGAGGGGCCCCCCCATATTCCCCGTCAAGGGCTTGTTATAGGGGCCCGAATCGACGCCCAGGCAGCCATGTCAGCACCACGTCTTTCGGCTCCAGATAGGCGGCGAACAAGGTGGCCTGCAAGCAATTCCGATTGGCCCTGGAACCCTCACCTCTTCCACCCCCTTCAGAGGTCCCCTAAACTCAACTCAACCCCCCCCCCCAGCTCCCTCAACCCCCACCTCAAACACCTCAAGCAGACCCCTCAACCCCCCTTGTTGGACCCCCAAACTGCACGACCATCCTTCGACTGCTCCAGAGCCGCTGCTGCTGCTCCCTGCGCGGACCGACCGGTTTGGCAGCCCCTGGCCTCAGAACACACTTTGGTTTTTTTTTGGGGGGGGTGTCTTGAGGGCTCGAGGGTTTGTAGATGTTTGTAGGGTCTTGAGGGTTTAGAGTTGAGGAGAATGAGTTGGGTTCAGGAGCCCTCTAACCCCTAGACTTCAAGACTTCAAGGGCTCCTGAGACCAACAAACCGTCTGATTGTTTAGGCTGCAGAGCCTCAGGATGACTCAGCCCCAGAGGCCCCCAGAAGCCAGCAAGGAGCCGTGCCTGCCGAGATCGCATGCCGGATTCCTGCTGCCGGGGCCTCTGATTCTGATAGTGCTTCCTCTGTTGGATGTCAGGAGGCAGTGGTTCGCACCAGGTTCCCAGGTTCAGGGTTCAGAGTTTGGGAGGCATGGCTTCAGGGTTCCGTTCGCGCTTGCAACAGTTTGGGGACGAGTTCCTTGCTGCTTTAGTTGCCGTCATCCCGAGGAGATGTGGCGAACGTACGTGGGCCCCGAGCACGAGCTTGGTGAATGGCTGGGACAATGCCACTTCGCAGCGAGACAGAGCTGATGGGTTCTATAGACTCGTGAGCCGTCATACAGGAGCCTCAATCATTACTTAAGATGATCCCCTCACTGTTTTTTTTTTCTCTCTCTCTCTTCTGCCTGCAACAATCCCCAAAATACCCAATTTTAGTTAGCCAGGCCCTCCCCCCCCCCCCCCAATTTTGGCGGGGGGGGTGGGTGGTTAGGTGCGGAGTAGGGTATAGGGGTTTGGGGCCTAGGGCTAGGGGTCTAGGGGTCTAGGATGCTTCTGTTCCTTCGCTTATTCTTGAAAAAGGGGGGGAGTGTTTGCTTGAGGTCGCACCCTGAGTCAGACATCATATGACTCAGAAATCAGCAGCCCAAACTCGCTGAACCCCAAACCAGGATTGGCCCCACTTCTGAAACAGCCCCCCTGGGTTTGCTCCAAGCCTAGCTTATCGAACATCAGAGCTCATGACAGCTCCCGTAGCAACCCAAACACATCTTGGAATGTCGAAGCTGCAGGCCCCGAGGAGATGGTCTGGTGCTTCCACCCGGACTTCCGGCTGATGCGAGCGCTGTGGCCAGGGGCCGAGAAGTGCAAAAGCCGTGGGTTTAGGGTTTCAGGTGGGGAGGTACCTAGAGAACCTTTAGCGAAGCTTAAGGAGCCTTAGGGAGAAAGGGCAGCCTATGACCCCAACCCCCCTTGCTGGGATTGGACCTCAAGAGCCTTTCAAACAGGAGCCGAAACCCCATGTGTCACTCACTAACCTATAAACCCAAAACACTCTAAACCCTAAACTCTGTGAAAGAGACTTAGGCCCTGTAAACCCAAACCCCCAACCCGAAACCCTCTTCGTTGAGGTTGAACGCCTGCTTCACCTTGCCAGAGGCCCGCTCGCCCATCACGCAGTGCCCGAACCCGGTGTCCAGGCCGGGCGCGACTGCCGGGGGGGGGGGGGGGGGGGCGGAGGAGTGTAAGATTCAAGGGCTTTAGGCGCCAAGCCCTCTAAAATCACAACCTTAAACCCTTGGCCCCCTTATGAACAGAGCCCAGGTACTGCCTGGACCTGACCAAGGCGCAGCCATGGTTTGGGCCTGAGGAGGGGTCTTCCGGTTTCGAGAAGGATGAGAAAGGAGGAGGCTTCAGACAGGGTTTCTGGGGGGTGAGGGTTTAGGGGGCTTTTGTCTAGGAGCCTAGCACTGTCACTACGGCGTAAATCATGGAATGCCTGAAAGGCAGGGTAGCTTTACGCAGCCTTGAATTTGCTGCCCGAATCTGCCCGAGGCTGAGAAGCAAGAAGGTTCGCAGGCACAAGAATGACTTCCGTCTGACCGCTGCTCGGCCGGAGGTGTAAGAACTTGGGCTTTTGTTGGGGCTCATCTACGGCCATTGCTCGTCTGCCAGCTCGGGGGCCAGCTCGGAGTAGCTCCCATCTAATGTCCCACCACCAGAGCATGTGCTGCTTTGTGCCGCATTGCTTGTCGCGTAGAGCCGCGAGTAATCATAGCAACGACGCAGTGAGTTGCAGATGTCAAGGCGAGACCCTGCCTCCTTCCCCGAAACCCTAAGCCTCTAGGGCCCCTGAATTCTAGACGTAGAAACCTTACAAACCTATAGACGCAACCTCAGAACCGACGAGGTCAACGCCGATTACCAGTCGAGCTTCCAGATTTGTCAAGTGGCCCGCTTGCATGGGAGGTCTGCTGAAGGGCATCCAGCTCTTAAGGGTCTAGTGAAGTCCAGTGTTTGGGAGTTCAATGCTAAGAACGAATTCTTGAGCCTGTCGGGGAGCTTGATTGGAAAGGACGAGGTACGCGCCAAAGGGGTGGGCTGCTCCGATCTGTAGACCCCGATCCTAGCAGGCCGCAACATTGTGCGACAAGAGATCTTACACGGGGTAGTTGGTCTCGAGTTTTTGTTGATGCAACTGCTGCAAGCTATGGATGTACGCCGCTCCATCCGATCGACTCCATTATGGAAGGGCTGCGCACATGTTGACAGCCTGTGCACATAGCTGCGCAGCACACACTGGTATCTCTACTAAACCCTATTGGCCTACACATCCCTAGGCCCTGTAAACCCCAGAGCCCTCTCCCCTGCCCGTTCCTTGACGATTGTGAGGCTCGGGATTGGGCCAAAGATAGGGGGCCTTTTCATTAGAAAGAGTTGGTTGGGGTAGTTTATGTTGGGATAGCTTTCGTTTTCCTTTCGATAGGGCTCATAGGGGCGATCTTCAAGAATCCTTTAAGGGGTGAGACGACACAGCCCAGGGGGTGCACAGGGAGATGCATGGAGGTGCCTTGGCGCATGGCGTTCGGAGGTTTGGGCGGCTTGGGACGTTTTGGGTCTTTAGGGATTCGGGTTTCAGGTGGTTTAGGCCCGGAGGGAAAAATGGCTTCAGGGGTTTTGTTTATGGCACCTATTTCGCATCTCCGACTGTGCCTACGAGAATGCGCGTGGCTTGCAGTATCCACCCTACTTGGAGGTTCATGGGATAACACAATTGTAACTGTACTTATAACCCAACTATAGCCACATCAATCAGGGCACTGAAGGGGCTTGTACGTGGGCTATAGGTACAGTCATGAACCTCCAAGTAGTCCTGAGCTGGGATACCTTAGATATTAGATCTTCGGGACATGCCCGACCAACCAGCCCCAGGTGAATCTGCCAGGGCCCCTGCGCCAGTAGCCCCTCAACACCCTGAACCCTTGGCACCGTGAAGCCCTTGAGCTTAAGCCCCCTTGAGTCCCAAAACCCTGAAAAAACCTCGATCCCCCAATGTGCTCATGTGGCAGCCTGAAGGTACCTGGATCACTCCAGGGCTCATCCAGAGCTTGGACCAGTGCCGCCGGGAGGACGCGCTTTTGGCTTTCTATTCTTGTTGCCTGTGCTGTTGCTACTGGCGTTGCTGCTGTTGATCTTCTCCTTGCGGGTCTGTTGCGCTGCTAGTATTATGACGTTCTTGTTCCGGTGGAGGGGCAGGGAAGAGCACAGGGGTCAGGAGCCCCGCCATTCGGTCCGATGAGGCTTTCGGAGGTTTTAAAGTCACCAGCAGCTTCGGCGGAGTTTCCCGGAGTTTCCCGAACCTGTCTCACCCTTTCGGCACATCCCGGGGTGCCTGACACTCTTGCCCAGGACTCGCAGGTCAAGGCGCGGCCGCTGCAAGTGAGGGTGGTTTGTCCCCACCTTCAACTGCGACGGAGGGATGTAGGCGAGCGATCAAGTTGTCTCCGTTGTGAAGTTACGAGTTGTACGGGACCAGTGCCACAAGGGCAGACAGTAGTTTGTGGCCTCAAGCGTTTTTGGGAAGCTTTAGATCCTGAACCTGTAGAGCCTAAACTGCCTTAAGCCCGAAAAGCTGAAGAGACCTTGAGCTGTTTACCTCAAATTCCTGAAGGTGTTTGCCCGAAGCGTTGAGTCGGAGTTTCCTTCAGCCCAAGACTACAAAGCCGTTCAGGTCTACTCCGTCGAACTTTGGGAGAAGAGCCGTGCGCTTAGATGGACCCTGGGAGTAGGAAAATCCTACGCCTTCCCAACCCAGAAGCCTACTTTCTCTACGCCGAATGAGGGAGAATCGATGAAAGCCCAGTACGATCCGAAGAGCCAGTTGGAAGATTCCCAGGTTCTGGGCGCCTGGCGGCGGTGATCATGGCGCTGAGTGTCGGAGAGCTGGCTGCAAGATTGGATCAACCCTGTTTAGGGTTTAGGGTTTAGGGTTCAGGGTGCGAAAGATCCTCAACATGGCCCTCCGCGGTAAGCCCCGTCGCCCACTCCCTTTCTCAACACAAGCTGGTCAGCTTGCGGCAGTTTTCATGATGGTCGCGTTTCGGGTACCCCATGAAGAAAGAGTGCTGTTGGGGCGCAATCTACAGGGTTGAATAGACCAGCTTGCCAAGGCGACATCTTCCATGACTACACCACTGTGTGCCCCGGCCTAGACTACTGCTTGTCGTTTATGATGGCGGCACTTGGTCGGTGTGACATGCATATGCACACTAGCACGTGCACGTCCTTTTTTTTTTCCTCTCTCTCTCTCTCTCCCTGCCCTCTTTCTTAGAGCTGGCACGTGAAGCTCGCGGCATCCCTTGAGTGCACAGCACTGACGGAGCGCACGCGACCGTTTGCCCGGCGGCAGCCCGCAGCAACAGTCTGCTTAACATTACAGCCTCGGCCCATAAGTCTACAGATCCCAGACCAGCCCTTGGACTGAAGATCCTAAAGCCCTCCAATGATTGTGTTCTGTCATCAGTAGTATTTTAACCCTCCCCCCCCCCCCCCCCCCCCCCTCCAACCCCTGCCCCCCCCCCCCTCCCCCCCAGGACTCTTGTCAGAGACAGCCGCTCCCCTGGCGCAATCCTCACGAAGGCGGGGGATCCCAAAACTAACCCTGAAGCATTCTCCACATTTTTAAAATAGGACTCGTTATGAAAAAGAGAACCCCCCAGCCCACCCTGCCTTTGGGGTGCCGCAGCCCCAAAGTGGTGTTGGCCCCTTTAAAGGTCCTGGGCCACTTGCTGACGGAGGCGGGGTACACGCTCTGGTACTGGGGCTTCAAGAACCCCTACATGGCCGAGTACGCAGCTCGGTGGCATCCGAAACCAACTCAGCTGTGAAAGCCCTGTTCAAGCCTTATTGGAAATCCCACTAAGCGATCCTACAAGTTCCGGAAGCCCAACCTTGAAAACCCCTAAGCAGATCTAAACAGTCTGGCCCGAAAGCGGGCCTTCCAGAAGCTCAGGACGGAAGCTACGGTGGGGTCTCGCTGGACAACGCCCAGGACCCTCTGCAGAGTTGAGGGGTCCGGGGGTTGGGTTCTGGACCCTAAACTTCAGGAAAGAGCATGGCACTCCTTACATGATTAGGGTTTAGGCCGGTTTGGGGGTTTGGGCACGAACCCATAACCCCACACGTGCGGCATCGTGTGCCTGGAATCACCTTTGCAGAGGATCCCCGTCACATTCCCCCTCCCCCCCTCCTCCCAAACCCCGAACCGCGAACGCCGAACCCCGAACCCCGAACCCCGAACCCCGAACCCCGAACCCCAAACCCCAAACCCCAAACCCTAAACCCTAAACCCTAAACCCTCCCCCCCCCTCCCTAACCCCAAATCCCCAAAGGAGTTCTGGCCGCGCTGGCGCAGAGCTATGGAGCTGACGAGCCACCCGGCCAGTTTGGGGTTTTAGGGGGTTTTACATAGGGGTCGAATAATTGCTAATAACCTTTGTAATGAAACTATAATGACCCCAAAACCCTATTCTAATTATTCAAGCCCCTATATTACATGCTTTTGAGGGTTTCGGGTTTAGGGTTGCTGCAATTGGGGCTTAGGCTTACATGGGTTTCCCTTGTGGTTCGACCGAGGTTTCGATAAAATTGATGCTTTCTGTGGGGTATCCCGCTGCGGGCTCTGGCAAAACATCCGAAGCTCTCGAAGCCCTGAAACTTCCGGGAAAGAAACCCCTAAACCTCCCTCGTGACAGACACTGTTATTGACCTAAATCCAGAAATGTTGCAAGCTCCTTCAGGAAGTGCGTGGGGCACAGGGGGGGGGGGTGTGCCAGGCCCTAGGGGGAAGCTTTGGGGAGGGGAGATGGGGCAAGTACTTTACTTGCCCCCTCCCTTGATGATCTCTCCACGGTTTGGGGGTTTAGGCCTTATAGGGATGTCTAAGCTTAAGCCGCAAACCCCCCAACCTCAAATCGAACGAGCCGCCCAGGCTCCCCTGCAAACTGTGACCTGACTCGGCGCGTATTGCCGGGAGGCTCGAGCAATCAAAGGTTTTTGGATGTACCTGAGTGCTAAGGACTCGTCTTCTAACCTACAGCTTCAGAGCCTTTACCGACTAGTAAGGGCAAGAATTCGAAAGCTGCAGGTTCCTGCATATATCTTTGTATATGGTCACTTCTCGAAAGTATGGTCCCTTGTAAACTCCTGACTTTAAGGCGACCCCTATTGTTTAGCCTACCCCAAAGAGGACCCTCATTTAACAGCGAACGCGAAGCCGCCTCGGCAAGGGTCCCAGGGTACCGAAACGAACCAACGGTTCACGAGAAGTAGGGGGGGGGGGGGGGGGGGGGGGGGGGGGGGGGGGGGGGTGTTGGGTCCCGCAGGATGCTGTAGGAGACATAGGGGGTTCGGAGGGTGCTCTGTCGGGGATGCGGGGTGGGTCGAGGGTTGGGGTGCGCATGGGTAATTTTCAGAGTCCTTCACATTGGAAGTTTCCTGGAGCCACTTGGGGCGGGGCGCTCTCAGGAACGCACATCGAGCTTGCATGCTCGCTGTAGGAAGCTGGTGCTGAGAAGGATGTGAAAGATGTCGGATGGTGATGCGCTGAGTTGACTCACAGGATTCACAGGATGTCCGGTCGGTGAACTTCAGCGTCCTTCACACTAGCCCGGAAGTTTCGTGGACAGTGACCCGTGCAAGTGCGGATTCACAAGGCAACATGTTTCACTGCATATCACGTATTGGCTCGGGTGGCAGCATCCATCCAGAACGACCTAAACCCTGTAGAGCGCCCTGCGCTTATGGAACTTTCCGATTCTGGGTCCTCAACCCGAACCCTGCCAAACCTCCAACGCCCAAAGCAGGGGATCTTCATGTCTTCCGATACCTAAACGCTCTCTTCGAAGCTTGCACTCGGATCGGCAATTTCTCAGCTGTCGCAGGTGGGGCATCTGCTGGAGGGATTGATCTGGCCGCGCTGTCCTAGGCAGGGTCTTGGAGCAGCAGTGGCGAATCCAATCTTGCGTCAAGGTCTCTAGGAAATCTCGGGTTTGGCGCTTGCAAGTTCACACGCTGGCAGCAGCATCCTATCGTAGTGCACAGGCTGTGTTGTGGTGACCGCGTCAGGTTTCCACCACAACATCTGACCCCGAAGTTGCGAGTGCTGCACGTGTCCTGGGCTTGTTCTGTGACAAGTCGGCTTTGAGACGAGAAGTGTGCCATTTTCAGTTTCGTGCTCCTAAAGAGGCTTGAATTGATGGGGGTCACCGCCTTCCTCACCTGCCTCTTGCCCGACTGCGAGCACCGTGCAGTGTGCAATCCTGGGCACGGGGCTCCTTCAGAGTGCCGAAGTGTTCGATGGCCTCTACCAAAAAACACTCGAAAGACTCAGCACAAGCTCGACCCAAAAGGCGCCCCTCCCGAAGCTACCTGTGTACAGAGCTTACGCCGGGCAAAAGTGGAAAAGCCGCCGCTCAAGCGAATCTTGGACCCTTAGACAAAGCCGTTGCAACTTTTCCTGTGGCTCTATCGACACTTCTTTCGGGCAATTCCTACGAGCTTCAGGGCGAATGGCTGATAAAGCCGCAGGTAAAAAGAGGTCCCAGGTGAACCTTGAGCTTCCATGAGACTTCGAAGCCTTGGAGTTCGCAGGGAGAGGTCAGGGGTTTGTGCCTAGGGTTGGCCATTGCAGTCCCTGCCGCAGCTGGTTGAGACTCGAAACCCAGAACCCAAAGCCCCCAGAAGCCTTCTAAGCCCACATAAAACCCGATCAGCCCCAGCAAGCCCTACAAACGTAAAGCGATGACTCTGACCCTCAACTTTTCGGGCATGGCGTGTCCCGCAGGCACCACCCAAGCCGATCAACGATTGAACCGTAACTCCAGCAACTCCTAAACCCAGACCCTCCAAAAACCCGAATCTCGATATTCACGAACCCGACGCCCGAAGCCCTGAAAACCAGTCTAACAGCAAGCTCCTAACCCTAAACCCTAAACCCTAAACCCTAAACCCTAAAACCCAATAAAGCCCCGAGTGGCCACACTCTTTCCTTGCGGACGCTTTGGGTGGCCATGAACCTCAACGTCTCCATCGATCGAGACCCCGCCAAGCCACAGGCCCTCCATAGGGGGCTTGAGGGGCTTTAGGCTGAGGGTGCTAGGGTTCATAAACCCTAGCAAAACCCCAAAAGTGTGGTGCATTCGGGGGGTGGGTGCAGGTGATCCAGGGTCTGAGGCTTTGAGGGCTGCGGACCTTCAGGGGGTTCTTGTTAAGACAAAGTGGCATCGTCAGGGAGGGCTTTGGGCCTCTCTTCATCACGGTAGACTGTTTCGGGGTTTCAGGGGTCGCTTTCGGGGTTTGAGTGAGGGGGTTCAGGCCTTGTCCTTAGCCCCAGACCTTCACCAAGCAATCCCTAAACCGCTAGCCGCCTTGCCCAACCCAGAAAGCTTTGAAGACTCTCTTGTGGGGAGGACTATGCCTCGGATGGCACGGACGCGGTGGGCTTCGTTCAGTGCGGAGCCCTGATTGGGGTTCAGGGTCGGAGCTTCAACCCGAAACCTGAAGCCTCTCAAACCCTCATCCCCCAACCCTCAGAATTTTGATAATGGCCGAGGGTTGAGGCTTGGGGGAAGAAAATTCCCCCGAAGGGTCCGCCCAATCTGAGGCCAATTTGGCAGGGTGCCGCATTTGGGTGCGACATTTGGGGGCCCTTCCGATGCCCTGCAGATCCCAAAAAGAAGACAGAAACCCTAAACCCTTCAACCCTAAGCCCATCAACTCTCAACTCTTCAACCCTAAACCCCTAAGCCGCTGGACCCTGAATACTCTTCAGCCCTCAGTCAGAAGCCCCTGAACCCTGAAAAGGTTCTGGGGCAACTCCCCGGCTTTGGACCTCCTCGGGGAGGATCCGCAGGCAAGAAGTAGGGTTTCAGGGCTTCAGGGCTTAAACTCTTTAAACCCCTAAACCCTTGTTTCACGGGCAAGGTGCTCAAACTTTTAGGGTTTATGGTTCAGGGTGTGCAGAGCGCCTTTTCGCGTTCACGTGCCTAAGTCCAGCATCCTAAACTTTACTCTCTTAAAGCCCTGGGCCGCACCCCACGCCCCCCCCCCCCCACCCCCCCCAAGCTCCTAAACCCCAGAGCCCCAAGACCCAAATCCGAAGCCCGTCATCCCCAAAGCCCTACAGCTCCTGAACCCGATAAAACCCCTAAAGCTCCAAGCCCAGAAGTCCCAAAGCCTTAAGCCCCAAAGCGCTCCTCCAAGAACCTAAAAACCCTCCAAAGACCCGAAACCCTAAACCCTAAAACCCTGAACCCTGAAACCCTGAAACCCAAACCCTAAACCGCCCGTCAGCTCAAAACTGGAACTCGGCTTCGAAGGCGGCGGTGTTCGGCCCGGCAGCTGCGCCCACGCACATCGGCGGCTACAGCTCCAAGCAGAAGGTGCCCCTTCCGGAGGTTCTATTTCTGAGGCTTCGGGGCTTCAGGATTTCAGGTTGCAGGGCTTAGGGACTTCGTAGTCAGGGGGCAAGGGTGGCAGGGGTTTCTTTTAGGGGTTTGTTGAGTTTGATGGAGGCTTGATTGACGGTCTCTTGTACATTGCACCACAAAGGCCTAGAATCCACTGTGCTTGTCTTTCAGTCTTGAACATGAAGCCAGTCGGATGGCCAGTTTAAATTTGCCGTTGCAAAGTTAGATGCAACAGCGACTGAAACGTGGGTCCAAGGTCTTATAGATTGTGGTTCGGGAGGCACATGAGCCCAAAGCCCCATAAGCCCAAAGCCCCTTGGGCTTCGGAGGCTTTAGGAGGTTCCTAAAATATTAAGACGTCATACACCCCCGAAGACGCTAATCATTCGTACAGAGCCCCCTTCCCTAGTTGCAATACCATCATCAATGCTTTTTGTAGGATCGCCTAAACAATGGCATCCATGTTCAAAAGGGTACCCCCGTACTTAGGAACTCCTCCCTCCCCGGTGTTAGATACCTCCCAAGTCCCTGTTGAGGATGAGGAGGCCGCCGCAGCACCTGGGAGTGGGGCGGCGGGAATCTGGGGGTTTAGGGCTTTTCC